GTAAGCCTTCACCTGAAGTACAATAAAATATTAAAAAAAAAAAAAGAGTCCATGCCTTGCAATCATAGCCCTTCCCCATCCCAGAAATCCATTGGCCAGACTGAAGACCCAGACTCAGGCCTTGTCACCTCCGTAGGCAGTGAGCCTGACTCAGTTTACACCACCATTTTGGCATCCTGGAATTGACGCTTACGGAGGGAGGACTGTCCCAGTTTGAAGGGCAAATCACAGATGTCAACTGGCTGAGATCCAAGTGCCAGATTTTTGCCAGAGGCATGACTTTTACACCAGCCTGCACAGTCTGGAGCCCGTAATGAAAGAGGCTGACAGCCCATTAGCAGTGGAATGGTCCGCAGGGCACAGAGTGAAGGAGCTGCCATGCACTCTCACTTCAAGGGCTTTCGAGGGTGAAATCAACTGGTTGAGCGTGTGTGTGTGTGTGTGTGTGTGTGTGTGTGTGTCTCTAAAATCTTAAAAAAAAAGGAAAGGAATCTCAGTCACAGCTCAGTCTGTCAAAATGGGCAGATACACAACAACCTGACATCATGAGAGAAACGTCAACATCTTCCTTGTATTCTGTCCTCCCAACCCCTGGGGGCAGGTCTGGGAGACAATACCATAATAACAGAACAAGTATATCTCAGGGCTGGAAGACCCTTAGAGATCTTCTCAGCCAACCCCTCTATGGTGTTTGGCTCCTCGCTTCAGTGTTCCTAACAAGGAATCATCCTGTCGCTTGAATGCCTCTAGTCACAGGGAACTTACCAACCACTGGGACGGTTTGAACATTCCACTTGCTGATTCCTCTAATGGTTAGAAAATTCTTCCAGATCTAGGAGTTTAAACTTGGGGCCATATTAACTCCCACCCATTGACCCTAGTTTTGCCCTCTGAAGTCACACACACGCACACACACACAAAGCCCAATCCCTCTTGCCCAAGACAGCCCTCCTATTGAGTCTTTTCCAGTCTAACATGGTTTTAAGTGCCCTCACCAGTCTACCTACTCCTTTCTGGACAAGATTCAGTTTGTTAACAGCATCTTAAAACTGTGGTCCCCATTCTGAAAACATAAAACCTCTACCACAGCTGTTAGCTACGCGTACACACGCAAGTATGTGCATACACGCATGCACATAGAAATAAAGCTCATTTTCCCTGCAGCCCACGTTTCATACCATACTGTTGAAAACCTTGCTGGAATCCAAATATGCTATACCCACAGCATGTTCTAAATCTATCACCATTGACTGGATCAAGAAAAAGAAAGAAGAGGTGCCCAGACCTGGGCCTGGCCCACGACGTGTGGTCTAGTCAATGCAGGGATGGGCAGGACTATTCCCTTCCTTGTTCTGGGCACGACTCTCCTATCAATTCCACCTCAGATGACATTAATCTTTTTGACAGTTAGAGCCCACTACTGACTCAGACTGAGCTTTGGGCCAGGCCATGGGCTCAGATTTTTGTTCGCTTGTTTTAATACAGATGTGATAGAAAAGTAAGATAACATATGACGTGTTAGCATCTTCTTCCACTACCCAATTCCAAGAAAGGTCAGCACTGAGCCCCCTGGGGGGGATTTTGTGCTAAGGTCTTGAAAGGGGTAGGGAAAGAGGGAGATGCTTTGAGTGGGGAAGAGGACAAGGGAGACCATGGAGATACTGGGCACATCCCTGAGGCTGGGACAGAGATGGGGATGCGTAGCAGGCACTGGTGCCCTGCAGGCCCATGGTACTTCAGGATGTCACCTGTGGTCAGCAAGGAGGGCTGTTGTTGGGGTATTTTGAACCCTCCCAGTACAGCAGTGCCCAAAAGACAAAGGGCCGTCATAGCCCAGCTTCAAGTAGCAGAGCAGCAACCTTCGGGATACCGAGCAAATGGAGCCAGGGCCCTGCAACATCCCTGGCTTCTGCCCTCAGAGGCCCAGGAGTCCTGGTTGACTCTAGAGGGATGGAATTGAGGTTGAATTTCCAGCCACCCCACTGGGGAGCCAAATAAATCTGGCCCAGAGGAATAAAGGCATGTGGTATTACATCCCAGATATAAAATGCATACCCACAACATCTACTGCTGTAGTTAAACGAATCTCCCCCTTTCTCACATAATGCAGTTGGTTTTGGGGACCCAAGTATGTTACTTACATTGTATTTATGCTAAATTTTTCCTTTGACCCATCAAAGCAGCCTTTTGATCGATGAGGATCCCAACTGTCAGTCATTTTATAAGCTCTTCCTCCAAGGTTCCCAAAACCCATGATTTTGGCCACCAGTCATGAGAGGCCTCATTCTAGTCATTAATGACAGGGCTGGGCCCAGCCAAGCACAGGGCAGGGCTCTTACATGCTACTTAAGGCTTCCTTCCCTCCCTGTTGACACAGGCACCACGGAGCAGCCGCTCCCTCCTGTGGCTTGTTCACTCCCTTAGAAACTCATCTGACTAGACCATTACTTGTCCATGTTTCTGCCTTGTTCATAGGATATATTGCCAAATGCCTGCTGAAACCCAAATACACTCAATCCACTACCTGGTCTTGGTCCATCAGCCCAGTGACCCCATCAAGGGAAAGAAAAACAAAAGGAAGACAGAAGGAAGCGAGGTCAATGGTCAATCTGGCCTGACTGGCCCTTGGCAAATCCATATGAGCTCTAAGTGGCCCCTACTGCCTGTTTTAAGGCTCTCAAATCTGGTCTAGATGACTTAGGTCGGACTCAACTCAAATTCACCACCAAAGATCAGGTAAACCCCTGTACACACCACCTCCCCCATGTCCCAGTGTCCCTGACCTGGTCTCCCTGAGGTTTGTGAGTTAGAGTTCACAATCAGACAACAAAAGTAGGAGGAAAACAAAAACTAAAAGCCAGACCATTGCTGAATATATATATATATATATTTTAATTAACAAGTCTAAAGAAAACCTTCACTGAGTTAAGGGATGTAATACAAATCGGGGTGACCTGTGTATAAAACCTGGCATCAAATGTGTCCTTGGGGAACATGTATATACAAAAATATGCATTAATATCTGCACTAGAACACCGTGTGTGGCTAACTGACAACCCTGATGAGAGCAGCTACAAAGGTGGTCTATCCTGTGGACTCAGGGGGCTCTTCGTCCCACAGCCTCACGTGTGAGACTGATGAGAACAGCCTGCTCTGAGGGGCAGCCAAGAGAGCTTGTCTTTGAAGGCAGGGCCCCTGTGAGCACCAAGATGCCACCAACACGGCATAGCACAAAAACGGTGCTGGGAAGGAAGGCAGGAGAAAGGATCATTCTCCTTTCCCTTGTTCCTGGGCTCTGATTACTATTAAAGGACTTTGGATCTCTGGTAGACGACCACCTTTAACTTCAGAGGAACTTGCAATTTCCAAATATGTTTTTTCTAAGTAACCTGACCAAATTCTAACTCAAGAAGCCAAATCCTAAGTAGCTTGAGCTTAATGATTAAAAAGTAGTTCTTAGGTCCTTTTCTGTAGGTCAAAACCTTAAAATACCTATCAGAACAGCTATAATCTCAAAAGAAATATATAATGATGATCTCAATCTATTTCAGTCTTGGACCAAATGCAACTGAGCAATTCTAGCCCAGAAATTACACTCCACAGGCAATGAAATGAAAAGCAGCTTCGATCAATGTCGGAATTCCCCCATTCTTACTGTGACCTTACCGAAGCCCTCGACTACCTTTGCACCAGACAACGGAAGCCTCTGGAGAGGCAGGGTCAATATTGCACATCTGTTTTCAAGGATGAAGACAAAGTTCCTTCACTGGCCAGGCCTGTCATTCTGGCTGAACAGGGTTCAGGACTGTCCATTGGCTAATGCATTCATCAGGAGTGCTGATGTTCCTGGTCTCCTTATCCTCTGGCTCTGTGAAAAGTGGCAGCCGCCCCTGACTCAGTTGCTCAAGTAGTCTGGCTCCATGTACCACCCCTTGCCCCATGAGGGACGCAACAGAAATGGAGTGGGCACGGTGGGGCATTAGGAGGCGATCAGGAGAAAAAAAAGCCCTGTGGGCTTTAAATAGCCCATGAGGATGGCAGTGCCGCTACAATTTCAGGGTTCCTAAGAGTTAATGAAAGGGCTGGGAATCCTTCTTGTCATCCTCGTGGATTCTACCAAGGGAAAACAGCTGCCCTACCGATTTCTATCCAAAAGCAGAGTGTATTTCTCAGCTGCCTCCAGGGTGTGGTGGTTTTTTTTTTTTTCTCCCAGTCCCTGGCTTAATTGTCTTGCTGCAGGGTGATCTGACACTTTTCTTCAACTGTGGCAATGAGTGAAAGAATAGATAAAGGGCAAAAGCTTCTGAATCACAACTGAGGCATAAAGCTGGGAGCCACACTAGGCTGTTAATGAGGGACTCTCTCACTCAAGCAGTGTATTTCAGGACCCAACAGCTGAGAGTAAGAGACAGGCGCTCCCCATGCTAATGGGGCCTGGCACCAGTCATTACCATCTCCTACAAGACCAAGTTGACAAAAGGACACTTTGCCTGGTTACTACGGCTCTTTCAGGATAGGAGGCCAACCAGGCAGCTCCTTCACAAAGTCTTGGGACATTTTGCATAGAACAAGGAGGAACTCAGCCCATTTTAAAGTGACCTGACAACACCATCTAGTGGAAATTATAAATAAAAGATAGAGACTGTGCATCAAATTCACCTTCTTCAGATACCGGAGTGGTTTCAAGATTCCTCATAAAATGGAAAAACTCAGCAGGTATCTTTAAGAAGATAATAATAAAAAAAAAGGCAAAAGTTCACTCACAACCCATAATCCATTTCTTGGAACCTCACTGCCAAATCACATTCCCTTCTGGGGTATTCTGACTTTAATACATTCCAGGAAAGGGGGACACGTTGTGGGAGGAGCAACTGGTCCCCTTAAAGTTTAGGCAGACTGCCCGCTGGTGCCAGGATGATGCCAAAAACGTAGAAAAGTCCTAGCAGGAGGTTGAGTTTGGCAGTCCTCTGGGGCAGTTTGTTGAAGGCCTGGCTTCGGAACTGTCTCTCAAGGGAAAAGGCCATGGGAATGGTGAGCAGGGGGAGGGCTAGGCTGATGCTGCAGCGTGTGGCCAAGATGCTGAAGATGAGGTAGGGTAGGAAGAGCAGCGTGGTGTAGAGCACGTAGGAGAGGGTGGGACCGATGAGGATGGCCAGTGTGACGATGCCAGCCTCCTGGTCGGATTCCATGTCCCTGGTATTGTTGGAATGGAGAATGGCCTCGGTGCTGAGGGCTAGGGGGATGGCGTAGACCAGGGGGAAGACCGCCAGGGACCCCACCTGGACGGCGTAGGCGAACATCACAGCCAGCGGGCCAAAAGTGATGAGGATGACGAGGTCTCCCAGAGCCACGTACTTGAAGCCAATTCCTACGGCCGGAAAAACCAGAGCTGGTGTGAGATCAAGAGCTGGAGATTCAAGGACTGTCTATCAGTCACAAGGCCAGCCACTTCTGGCAGAGAACAGTGACTTCTTGGACTGTGACTCAGCTCCCTTCCCCACCAGAGCAAACCCTGGTTTCTCCTCCAACGTGACCCAGAGGTACAGAAAGAAGATTAACCTTACAGCACCCAGTTAGGTTTCATAGCTCATCTTCCAAGTTTTCCTTCCTAATGTCCCCCAATGAAGTCCTGCAACAAAGAGCACTGGGCTCCCACTACTCACACAGTCCCATGGGAGAGCCAGTGAAGGCCATATAAGGTCTTATGATCCAGTTCTTTGGTTTCTTCACTCCTCACCAACCCTTGCAAGACATAGCTTCTGTCTGTAACCTCACTAGATTAGACCCTCACAGAATATCTACCCCAGCCCCTTGCCCTTCCACCTCCTTAACTCTACAACCTCTGGAGGCATCTTCCGGCTTTGAAAACCCTAAGTGAATCACAGTGAAATTTCAGGGTCCCCCAATTCCACGTAAAGAAACGTTCACCCACATAATGAGTAAAACATTAAGGAAGCAAAGCTATAATGCTGCTTCCCCTCTCTGGTTCCTATGAAGTTAAAACTTGAAATCATCCCCGACTATTCCTCCTGTACTGCTAATTTACTTCAAGTCCTGCTCATCCACTTGAGGACATCTTTCCACTGGCCCGATTCTCTCTATCCCCAGTACCACACCCCATCCCACCTCACTCCCCCTCAAACCCAAGTCATGGTCATCTTATGCCTAGAACACTGCAACACCCTTCCAATCAGTCCCCCGGCTACCACTCTTATGGTGCTCCCTGGTGTGGACTGAATTATGTTCCCCCAAGATATGTGTTGAAGTCCTAACCCCTGTACCTCTAAATATGATCCTGTTTGGAAATAGATGTTTTTCTTTTGTTAAGTTAATGAGGTCATACCAGAGCAGGGTGGATCCTAAACCTAATCACTTCTGAGTTATACAAAGAACAGAATAGACCCAGAGACACACACAAGGGAGGAAGACAGATGTCATATGAGGACTCATCCACAAGCAAAGGAATGCCAAAGATTGCCGGAAGACATCAGAAACTAGGAGAGAGGTCCACAGAAGGAATCAACATGGATGAGAAACTGATTTGGACTTTTAGCCTGCAAGACTGTGAGAAAATAAATTTCTGTTCTTTAAAGCCACCCATTTGTGGCATTTTTTTATTAAGACAACATTAGGTAACTAACCCACTCCCCCTGCCCCATCTCTAATCTAATCTTTGCACTGCAGCAGAATGATTTCTTAAAAACACTAATCTGACCATGTCACCTTCCCACCTCCCCACCCCCCATACACACACCCCTTAAACCTTTATAAACAACTAGTCTTGGGCTAAAAGTCCCAAATCTGGAGCCTAGATGGCACAAGAGGTTTGTGAACAGCTGCTAACCTAAAGGTTGGTAGTTCAAACCCACCCAGCAGCTCCACGGGAGAAAGGCCTGGCAAACTGCTTCCGTAAATATTACTGCCAAGAAAACCCTATGGGGCAGTTCTACTCTGTCACATAGGGTTGCTATGAATTGAAAATCGACTTGACAACGCTGAACAACTACAACTGGCTTGGCTAATGGAAACCATAAAAGTCTCAAATCGTTAATCGGGTTCACCTCCAGCCCTGGTCCTGCTTCTCTCTCCAGCCTCACCTAAAGATCCCCTCTCTACTACCCTCACACTTCCTTCAGTTCCTCAGGACCTTCAGACATCCCCCACCCCTTTGCCTGGCTAACACCTACTGACTGTTCAAGACTTTAAAGGTCATTCCTCAAGGCAGCTTTCCCTCGCCCCCTAAACCACGCTTGGTACCCATGCAATATGCTTCCATGGCATCCTGACCTCCACTTTCATAAAAATCATCAAACTTTTAATCAGTCAATCTCTGTCCTTCCTACTACACTGTAAGTTCCATGGGGGACAGGGGGTGTGCTTGTGTTGTCCCCAGCACTTGGCACAAAGACTGAACTGAATACAGAGCTATAGCAACAAGGAATTTGGGACTGAGATCAAGAAAAATCCCCCACTCCGAGCAGCATACAGTGGGTAAGAGGAGCCCACTGAAGGAGACGATCTACAAATACCTGCTATACGGTTGAGAAACTCCAAATCTAACCAAGCTACCAAGGTGTGGCCTCTGGATCAGAAAATAGAGAAAACTATTGTGTAATCTAAGTCTTTGGGTGATGCAAAAAGTTAATGCGTTCAGCTGCTAATCAAAAGGTTAGAGGTTCGAGTCCACCTAGAAGTGCCTTGGAAGAAAGGCCTGGCGATCTACTTCGAGCCATTGAAAACTCTATGGAGCACAGTTCTACTATGACACTCATAGGGACAGCATGAGTCAGAGTCGACTCAACAGCAACTGGTTCTATTGTGTAATTGACTGCATTTTGACTGCTCTGGAATGATAAAGAGCAACGGTCTACAGAGGTTCTAAAAACACAGGAGCCAACAAGAGTCAGCCTGAGTTTATTTACCCTTCACCCTAGTAGTTCGGATTCTTTGGAGCTAAACGGCCCCCTTGGTTCTTTAGAATGAAGGATCCCCAGGGAAAGGCATCATAGACACGGCCCCTGACACTTTCCCACACACAGGAAGCTAATTCAACACTCCCCAAGCAGTCTTTTGATAAATAATTTGGTTGACCGAGGACATGCTCCAGAGGAGTAAGTCCCCTCAAGCAGAACACCAACTCCAGTTCTAATTAGTAAACTGATGTCTCTTATTACACCTCACACACTTCAGGGGCTACCCCTGCCCAAAGAAGATGCTGAGCAGGAATACTCCAAGCATGGACCTAATAAGTTGCTCCACGAGCCACCGCTCTTCTGCTTATTTTCTCAGCTCCCCAAGCAGACGTCAGGGCTCGGGTTATGGAAAAAAAACTCAAAAGTGCTACAGCCTTGACCTTTGGCTGAATTCTCAGGAACATGTCTTTGAACCACTTGTCAAAAAATGGTGTGAGCAAAGCTGTGCCTGCAAGGACAAGCTCCTATCTTAGAGCCCTGCACAAAAAAACAGACACAAACACACTCTAAGGATGAGAAAGGTCTGGGAATCTTCTTCTGACACAAAGAAAATGGTAGAGCCCTTGGGGAGAAAGCTCTGTTTTCTAAGTGCCTGCCACATGGCCCAAGGCTAGATGTGCTCCACCTGACTCAGAGATGTGCCCCCCCCCCCCGGAGGTTCCTTTTAGGCATCCCATCCCTCCCAATACCATTTTTCAAATTAGTCAGAAGAGTGAAACATTAGGCCAGTTTTCCACACAACAGCCAGAATTAATTGTTAAAACATAAATCAAAAAGTTGGAAAGGATGTAGAGCAACTGGAACTCTCATACATTGCTGGTAGGAACATAAAATAGTACAACCACTTTAGAAAATGCCTTGGCAACATCTCATAAAGTTAAACATCTACCCTATGACCCAGCAGTTGCATTCCTAGGCATTTACCCAAAAGAAATGAAAAACTACATCTGTAAAATAACTTGAACATAAACGTTCATGGCAGCTTTAGTCATAATAGTCAAAATTTGGAAACAATCCAAATGTCCATGAACAGGAGAATAAACAACAAATTGTGGTATACTCATGCAATGGGATACAACTCAGCAATAAAAAGGAACTACTGATACACAACAACATGATAAATCCCAAAAACATGCTGAGTGAAAGAAGCCAGATGTGAGAGTACATACCGAATGATTCCATTTATATGAAGTTCTAAACTAGGCAAAACTGATCTCTGTGAAAGAAATCAGAACAGTAGTTGCCTCTGGATAAGGCTGGAGAGAGTGGGGGATGACTGGGAAAGAAGCTTTCCAGGGTAATGGAAACGTTCTGCCACGATAGGAGCATGTGTTACACAGTTGTGTGCATCTGTCAAAACTCATCAACTCCTCATCTACCCTGAGACCAGAAGAACTAGATGGTGCCCGGCTACCACTACCAGCTGTTCTGATCAGGACCACTATAAATGGATTCTTACACAATGGGAGAGAAATGTGGAACAGAAATCAAATTCTTAAAAAGTCCAGACTTACTAGACCGGTTGAGACTAGACGGGTCCCCAAGACTATCGCTCTGAGATACACTTTAAACCTTAAACTGAAAATATCCCTTGAGGTCACTTTTAGCTAAATAACAGATTGGCTCATAAAATAAAAAATATTACCGTGAGTAATGTGCTTCTTTAAGAAAAATCATCTACAGGAGACAAAATGGTCAAAAACTACTCTAAAGCAAAGATGAGAAGGTAAGGGGGCAGGAAAACTAGAGTACTGGAAATGGTACAACCAGAATGGAATGAATGAGAATTATGACACATTGTGAAAAATATAACCAATATCACTGAATAATTTCTTTTCAAATTGTTAAATGGGAATCTAATTTATCATGTAAACTTTCACCGTAAGCACAATATTAATTTAAAAATATATATATATTTAAGAAATTTTTAAAAACTCATCAATTGTGATGCTTAAGACCTGTGCATTTCATTGTATGTCAATTATACCTCAATAAAAGTCAACATTAAAAAAAACATAAATCAGATTGTCATGACTCTGCTCAACGCATTTCAATGTCTTCTCATTTGCTCATTTAATGAATAATGACCGTGCCTACTACAAGCCAGGCACTGTTTTGGGCACTAGGGCTTCAGCAGAGAACAGAGATTAAAATTCCTAGCCCCAGAGAGTTTACAATCTGAAGGAAAAATGACGATAAACAAAATAGTACTTTACATGGTATCTTATAAGGTGATATGTGCTGTGAAGAAAAATAATGCAGAGAAAACAGGAAAAGAATTATGGGGACATAGCGGGGGGGACTGTATAATTTTAAATAGGGTACAAAGCAAGGTCTTACTAAGAAGTTGTTGACATTTGAGCAAATGTGTAGAGGTTAAAAAGTGAACCATACAGACAGTTGGGGGAAGAGTGTTCCAGAGGGAACAGCATCTATAAAGGACCTGAGGCAGAAGCAAGCCTGGCATGTTACAGGTCTGTAGCACATGGAGCAAGGAGGACGACAAGTCAAGAGAGCCGGCGGGGGAGAGGGTGGGCACACAATGTATGTAGAGCCATGGGGGTCAGTGTAAAGACTTTGGCCTTTATTCTGAACCAGTTTGGAGCCATTGAGAGTTTTGGGCAGAGGAATGACATTATCTGTCTTATGTTTTCACAAGATTATTCTGGCTGCTGATTTGGAAACAGTCTGTGCTCTAAACTGAATTGTGTCCCCCCAAAGGTATGTGTTGTAAATCCTAACCCCTATACCTGTGGTTATAACCCCATTTGGGAATGGATTTTCTTTGCTATGTTAACGAGGCAGTGTTAGCCTAGGGTGTGTCTTAAATCAATCTCTTTTGAGATACTAAAGGAGCAAATTAAGCAAGGAGAGATGGGGGAAGACAGATGCCATACCACATGAAGATCACCACCAAGGGACTGTGGTATTCTGACAGCCAATTGTAAACTGGAGCCAAGGAACAGAAGATGAAGAGACAAGGACCTTCCCTTAGAGCCAACAGAGAAAGCCTTTCCCTGGAGATGGCGTCCTGACTTTGGACTGCTAGCCTCCTAAACTGTGAGAAAATAAATTTCTGTTTGTTAAAGCCACCCAATTGTGGTATTTCTGTTGTAGCAGCACTAGATAACTAAGACAGTCTGAAAGACACAAGGGCAGATGCATAGAGACCAGTTAGGAGTCCACCACGTAATCCAAGGAGAGATGATCTTGGCTTAGACCAGGGTGACAGTGGCGGGAAACAGTAAAAGTGGTCAGATCCCAGATGCATTTTCAAAGTAGAGTCAACAGGATTTGCTGATGAACTGGATGTGACATGTGAGAAAAAGTCAAGAATGATGCCATTAATTTTTAGCCTGAAGAACCAAAAGAATTAAGTTGCCATCAAGTGAGATGGGGAAAGCTGTGTGTAGAGGAGAGAAGGGGAAAAAGATCAGGAGTTTGGTTTCACACATGTTAAGTATGAGATGCCTATGAGACCTCCAAAAAGAGTTACAAAGGAGTTGGAAATATATATATATACACAAATATATACATATATATGTAGTTTAGTGGAGAGATCTGGGCTGGAGATAGAAATTTGAGAGTCATCAGCTTAATGGATAGCATTTGAACCCACAAAAATGGCTAATTGGAGATAACTGGGGTCTCTAACACTAAGAGGTTAGGAAGAGAGAAAGAACATGCAGAAGAGACTGAGACACTACAAGACCAGCATGATGTAACCCTTGCCTACCTCTCCAACTATATGTCATCCCACTCTCACCAATCTCCCTTTTGGTCTTCTGGTAGATCCTAAAAGAAACTGAGCTCTCTCCCACTGAGCATGTGCACTTGCTGTTCCTCCAGCCCTGAAAGGCTTGGCACTCCAGTTGCCCCCCAGTTGTGCCCTACGGCTGGTTCCTCATCCTTCAAGTCTTAGTTTAAATGTTACTTGTACAAGATAGTCTCTTCTCTCCATCATCATCACCACTTTATACTCTACTGCAGCACTCTGACGCCCTTCATCGAACATTTTTACAATTGCACTAAATTTACAATTGGCTGCCAAAACACCACAGTCCTTTGGTGTGCTTCTTTCTTTCTCCTTTGATGTGCCTTTACACTTCCCTTCACCTGTTCCTTCCCTTCTCCCCTATCTCTTAATGGAGTGCTCCAGGGCTCAGTCCTGATCCTCCTCTCTTCTTTATCAACACCCTCTACACTGGTTATCTCATCCAGTCATACAACTTTATCTCTGCCAATGACTTCCAAACATCTACACCTCCAGCCCAGATCCCGCCCTTGAACTCAACGCCTATATACAACTGCCTATGACATTTCCACTTGGAGATCTAATAGACATTAAGGTGTCCAAAGACAATCCCCTGGTTTCTCCCCAAAAAACCTATTCCATCCTCAGTTTTCCCCATCTCACTTATGACATCAACTCCATTCTTCGAACTGCTTGGGCTAAAACCTTTAAGTTTTGCTTAATTCCTGTTTTTCTCCTTCCTCATATTCAATCCATCAACCCTGTTTACCTGGTACATCTTATCTCCCCCACTGCTACAACCCTGATTCAAGCCACAAAGCATCTCTTGCCTGGATTACTCAATAACCTCCTGTTTGATCTTCCCACTTCTATCCCTGCCCCAGCCCCCTTTATCCATTCTCAATACCTCAGCCAAAGTGATTCTTTTAAAACATTAAGTCAAATCATGCCTCTCCGTTGCTCAAAGCCTTGCAATGGCTCCCCCATTTCAGAGTGTAAGACCAATGGTTTACAAGGCTTCCCCACCCTCCCCAAATACAGTACACTTCTCTCCTTCATTCACCCTCCAGCCACACTGGACTCCTTGACGTTCCTCAAACTCTCCAGGAATGTGCCTGTCCTAATGGTCTTTGTACTAGCTATTCCTTCTGCCTGGAATGTTCTTATTCCCAGATATCTGCTTGGCTTTACCTCCTTCAATCTTTGCTCATATATTGCCTTTTCAATGAGGCCTACCCTGATCAGACTCTTAATATAGTAATCTGTATCCTCTTCCCTTGCTCTACTCTTTTTTTTCCCATTGCACCTACCAGCTTCTCATATACTATAATCAAGGTGGCCAGTTCATATCGTTTTACCTGGGACTTTCCCGATTTTAAGGAGCCCTGGCAGTACAGTGGTTAAGCGCTCAGCTGCTAACCCAAAGGTCGGGTGGTTCAACCCCACCAGCGGCTCTGTAGGAGAAAGATTTGGCAGTTGGCTTCCTTAAAGATTACGGCCTTGGAAACCCTATCGGGCAGTTCTACTCTGCCCTGTAGGGTTGCTGAGTCGGAATCAACTAGAAGGCAATTGGTTTTCCTGGTTTTAGCACTGATTGTTCCACGTCCTGAGAATCTCCTCAGTCACGGGCAAACCAGGATGCTGATCACCCTAATTTATTATTTTTATTTTCTGTCTCCCCTCACTATAATATATAATAAGTGCCACAGAGCAGAGGTCTTGGCTGTGTTCACCTAGAACAGTGCCTGGCACACAAGAGGTGATCCAATAAATAGGGCTTACCCACTGGCCCATCACTATCTTAATCAACCTGCTGCCAGAAGTCACACTAGGCAACTTGTTGAAAATAATTAGCTGTATAATTTTTAGCTCTTCAAATCTAGTTCCACTAAAATTGCATTTTGAAAGTATGACCACCAAAAGGAAAAGAGATACAAAAAAATTCACGTGTGTGTGTCTGTGTGTGTGTGCGCGTGTGTGCGTGTGCATTCCTGTATTTGAGCATTCTCAAAATCTATAAGCCAAGCTGGGATCTTAGCTTACGGATGCTGGGATTCACTGCTGTTTTTTAAAAAAATCCGTAGGACCCACATTCATGGATTTCACTTAATGTGACCTAATTCAGAAAAAACTTTGACACCCCTGCCCTAACCTTAACTCCTCTGCAAAGTAGCAGTTTCCTGTACACGTGACTAAGAACTGCAGCACCAAAGGCAGGCCAATTCTTACCTCCGGTGTAGAGAAAAGAGCCGGACAGGCCTCCAAAGTAGATGAGAGCTAAATGCTCCAGTTTCAGAGGAGACAGGTAGTACAGGCAAGCTGCACAGACACAGCCCAAGGTGTAGAGGAAGACTCCAAACCGAACAACAACCTGGGGCTCCAAGATTCGGTCCACCAGAGTTCTATCATCACTCTTTTTGTGGTCAATGCCCTTGGAAAAGTCATAGTAAGTGTTGACCAAATTGCCAGCCCCGTGCACAGCCAGGACAGCCACGGCACAACCCACCAGTAGCCTGGGATCCAGGTCGCCTTGGAATCTGTAGGCCAGGGCACTGCCCAGGGCAACTGGGGTGAGTGAGGCACTGAAGCTCCAGGGCCGCAGGGCCAACACGTAGGAGGCGCACTTCTGCCTCCAAGACCGCTGGGATGACCTGTCCTGCCCGGGGCAGTCGTTACCAAACGAGTCTCTGTCCGCCGCCTTGGCCGTCTCTCCCGTATAGATGCTAATCTTCTCCCCCGAGACGTGAGTGGCCGCCATGGAGGCTGCACGTGGCTGAAATTGGTTCTAAAGTGAGCCACCCACAGCCCAGCGACCGCCCCGGGGCGAAGTGGGACGGGACTGGACCGCGCGGGGCGGGGCGGCCCGGCCTGACCTTCCTTCAGTTCCGCCCCGGGGCAGGGGCTGCGTAGGCGGCAGGATGAGGGGACAGCAGCGAGCGGGCTCTACACCCCAGGAGGCCCGGCGGCACTGCCCCGACCACTTGTCACCTGGGGAAGGACTAGCTCCAGCCCCACGTCAGAGTCTAAGGCTGAGCCACTGCCGCCTTCCCGGGGCCGCCATCTTGTGCCCCCATCTCCGGAGGCCCGCCGGGAAACAGACGCAGGCAGCTCGAGCAGGGCCGGGTTGGGCAGGGCCGGGGGGCGGGGCCGGCAGACAACCCCGACGTCCAGCCACTCCCAGGCCGAGGAGACCGCGCCCGGCACCTGGTACCCAACTGGCTGGAAACAGCCTCACTTAGCATCGAAAGAACGACCACAACTGTATGTGACCTTTCTATTTAGCACTAGGAATCTGAATGGACTCGGGGGCAACGGGTTTGGTTTTTTGGTTTTCGTTCAGTGAAATAGCATTCATTCATTCATTTTTCAACAAGCATTTATTGCGCCCCTACTGTGTGCACACACTGATCTAGACGCTGGGGACCCATCAGTGAACAAAACGGAGAAAAATCAAGGAGCAAATTGAAGGTGATAAGGAAGGTATAATTATCCCCATTAAAAAAAAAATAGGACAATTGAATCTCTGGAATGGGAAGTGATGTCTAAGAAATTAAGAGCCCTAGTAATAATCACGTAGGACCCCTGGTGGCGCAGTAGTTAAGCGCTCGGCTGCTAACTGAAAGGTCGGCAGTTCAAACCCACCAGCAGGTCCACAGAAGAAAGATGTGACAGTCAGCTTCCGTAAAGATTCACAGCCTTGGGAACCCTCTTTGGCAGTTCTACCCTGCCTCTAGAGTTGCTATGAGTCGGAATCGACTTGACGGCAATGAGTTTGGTTTAGTAATACCGTACTGTAATCATAACAGCAGTAATTCCTTCTTTTTATTGTGCAATTAACATACCCTATGTTGCTCTGCCTGCCTTTTTTATCCCTTCATTCTCCAGTCTACTTCTTCATGAAAATAACTGCCCTCCTCCCTTCGTCCCACCAGGTGTCCAGCTCAGTCTTCATTGCCCCGCCTTTTGGGAGCTTGTGGTCCATGTCTGTGGTTCGTTCTGGCTGGAGAGAGCCAATTGTTAAATTTCCAGGAATTTTGTGATGAGGTCATTAAACACAGCCATTATTAAAAATTAAATTATACAAATTTACAATTAAATAAATTGTTAAAAACAAAGGTAACAAATACTCAAAACTCATCACTTCCTAATTATTTTACTGCATTTTACCATTTATGCTCCTCAGGTTATTTACATCTATCATATCTGTACAATGGAAATACAATATAATGGTGCTACTGCACATCTTTTCCCAACTCAGTGACATCCGTTGGTAGCTTGAAATCTGCTGTGGTAGAAGTACTTACACCATACAAATCAATAAATGTTTAATAATTGTTTTGTTGATTATCTATACTTTAAAAAATGACAAACCAAAACAAATTAAACCCGTTGCCATTGAGTCGATTCCGACTCATGGCAAACCTATAGGACAGAGTAGAACTGCCTCATAGGATTTCCAAGGAGCAGCTGGTGGATTCAGACTGCCTACCTTTTGGTTAGCAGCTGACCGCTTAACCACTGTGCCACCAGGGCCCCCCAAAAAGTGACGAAGAAAACATTAATAATGCAGATTAAATTTAAAAGTATGTCAAATATGTAGCCATTAGATTGTGAATGTTATTGTTGTTATATGGAATCCAGTCGATTCTGGCTCACAGTGACCCTATATGACAGAATAGAACTGCCTCATAGAGTTTTCTAGGCTGTAATCTTTACAGGAGCAAATTGCCAGGTCTTTTCTCTCTCAGAGCTGCTGAATGGGTTCAAACCACCAGCCTTTTGGTTAGCAGCCAAGCACTTAACCATTGTGCCACTAGGACTCCTTAGATTGTGAATAAGACCAAAAATCTGAAGAAATATTCTTCCAGTATCTGAAAACTATTCAGCAAAGAGGTGGCTCAAGTCACTGACAAATGAGCAAAGTTCTGACATCTCTCTTGACATGTCAAAATATCAACCAACATTCATGTTGGAACTACTCTCATTGGTCAACTGCAACCATAGAAAGGCTACACAATATCAAGGAAGGCATTCTGTGAGATCAATTAGCTATATGGAATTTAAAATAAAGAACATTGTATACTTTATTACTATTTGTAAATTGTGCGCTACACAGCCTTTGTATTGGTAAAGTTTCTAATACACATATAATAGACATGTCCATGGGACTGACTACATAATTTGCATGGCTCAGTGCAAAATAAAAATGTAGGGCCCTTGCTCAAAAATCACTTAAAAATTTCAAGACAGTGACCACATAGAATTATGACTACACAGGTCGCACCCCCAAAAGCTGGCCTTGTATATGCACACATCGCTGCCCATCTCCAGAGCTGGTTGTTAAATATTTACAAGTTCCCCGCTGAGCACAGGCTTTTGAAGTTGGCCGAACCTGAGCATCCTGTGCTGCCAAATCAGACAAAGGGAAGCAGCAGAGATATTAAAACCCTGGCTCCATCACTTACCAAGTCTATAACTCAACTTCTCTGTACCTCAGTTTACTCATGTATAAAATGGGAACAATACAACCTTCCTCATAGAAATGTTCAGAAATGACAGTCACAGTTAGCATTTGTTAACTGTTCACTTGTGCCAGATACTGTTGTAGGCACTTGACATGTATTAGCATTTAACCCCCACAACACTGCCTACCAAGGTAGGTACTATTATCATTCCTGTTTTACAGATAAGGAAATAGGTACAGAGATTAAGTACTTTCCCAGGTTCATACAGTTAGTAAGTGTGTGGTTGCACAGTGGTTAAGAGCTCGGCTGCTAACCAAAAGGTCAGCATTTTGAATCTACCAGCCGCTCTTTGGAAACCCTATGGGGCAGTTCTCTGTCCTATAGGATTGGTATGAGTCAGTATCGACTTGATGGCAATGGGTTTTTGGGGTAGTACAAATGGTTAACATGCTCGGTTGCTAACCATAAGTTTGGCAGATGGAGTCCACCCAGAGGTAACTCGGAAGAAAGGCCTGATGATCTACTTCCAAAAAAATAAGCCATTGAAAACCCTGTGGAGCACAGTTCTACTCTGACACACATGTGGTCACTAAGTCAGAATCAACCCCATGGCAACTGGAGAGATTTTAACATAATGGGTGTCTTAGTTATCTAGTGCTGCTATAACAGAAATACCACAAGTGGATGGCTTTAACAAAGAGAAATTTATCTTCTCACAGTCTAGTAGGCTAGAAGTCCAAATTCAGGGTGTCAGCTCAAGGGGAAGCCTTTTTCTCTTTGTTGTCTCTGGAGGAAGATCCTTATCATTAATCTTCCCCCGGACTAGGAGCTTTTCCGCGCAGGAACCCCGAGTCCAAAGGGCATGCTCTGCTCCCGGTGCTTCTTTCTTGGTGGTATAAGTTCCCCACTCTCTGCTTGCTTCCCTTTCATCTCCGTGAGATAAAAGGTAGTGCAGGCCACACTCTAGGCAAACTCCCATTACATTGGATCAGGGATGTGACCTTAGTAAGGGTGTTACAATCTCACCCTAATCCTCTTTAACATAAAATTACAATCACAAAATGGAGGACAACCACACAATAATGGGAATCATGGCATAACCAAGCTGATACATATTTTGGGGGGACACAATTCAATCCATGACAACAGGTAAGAAAGCTCTTTGTAAAAAGAGAAAAAACAAAAACAAAAAAAAACCACCCACCACCGTAGAGTTGATTCCAACTCATAGTGACCCTATAGGACAGAGTAGAACTGCCCTACAAGGTTTCCAAGGAGCAGCTGGTGGATTCAAACTGCTGACCTTTTGCTTAGCAACCAAGCTCTTGACCACTGCGCCACCAAAGAAGAGACCTACACATGCACTGATTACTGTTGTTATAACCCGTCTTTAATTGTTAATTAGAAAACAGGACCTTGTCACATCTTAGAGTGGCAAAAATCTCATATATTGCTGGTAGGAGTGACAATTGGTAACTCCCTTATAGAGGGTAATTTGAAAATATCTATCAAAGTTACACATTAATTTGCCCTCTGACCCTGCAACCCCATTTCTGGGAATTTACCTTGATATACCAGCCTCAGAACAAAATGATATACGCACAAGGGCATTCATTGAAGCATTGTTTTTAATGGCAAAAAGTTGGAAACAAAACAAGTGTCTATTAACAGGGGACTGGGAAAATAAATTATGATACATCATCATAATGGAATACTATACAGCTATAAAAAAGAGGAAGCTTTCTATATATACCATGGAAAGATTTCCAAGATACCCTAAAATTTAAAAAGTGCAGAGCAGTGTATAAGGAAGAAGGAACATAAGAAAATATATATCCATATTTGCCTGTATTTGTATAAAGAAACTTTAGAAAGATACATGTTGTTGTGTGCTGCCAGTGGACTCTGATTCATGGCAACCCCCATGTGTTAGAGTAGAACTGCTCCGGAGGGTTTTCTTGGCTGTTATCTTTACAGAAGCAGATCACCAGGCCTCTCTTCCTCGGTGCCACTAGGTGGGTTGGAACCACCAATCTTTCAGCGGGTAGGAGGGCAAACATTTGCACCACACAAGGACCTAAAAAAATAAGGGGTAGGAGTAGGAGCTATGTATAAGTTACAAATAACTTATTTATTTTGAAATTTGAACGGTACATACATTACCTATTTGGAAATTTTTAATAATTAAGACTAGAGATGCCGTGAAATTCCATTTTTTGCTATTTTTTAGAGGATTTTAAAAAATAATATAGCTTTTAAAATTACTTAAACTCGTTGCCGTCAAGTCGATTCCGATTCATAGCGACCCTATGGGACAGAGTAGAACTGCCCCCATAGGGTTTCCAAAGAGCGGCTCATGGATTCGAACTGCTTACCCTTTTGTTAGCAGCCCAGCTCCTGACCACTGCGCCACTGCTCCTTAAAATTACTACGAATAGCTTATTGAATTAAAAATTGACTGTGATTTTTTGGGAATGATCTTGTGAGCCAAAACATCTTTGAAAAGTGAGAAAGTATAACTAAAAACATTTTCAAACGCACATTAAA